TAAAAATAGTATAGGCCTGGGGCACTGGGCTCATGCCTATAATCCACACTTTGGGGCCGGAGGCCGCAGATTGCTAGGTCAGAAGCGGAGACCCAGCCTGGCCAACAGGTGAAGACCCATCTCTACTAAAAATACAAAAAATTTAGCCTGGTGTGGTGGTGCATGCCTATAATGCCAGCTACTCTAGAGGCTGAGGTAGGAGAATCACTTGAACCTGGGAGGCGGAGGTTGCAGTGAGTCGAGATCGCACCATTGCACTCCAGCCTGGGCGACAGAGTGAGACTCTGTTTCCAAAAAATATATATATGTGTGTATGTATATGTATATATATGTGTGTTTGTATATATATATGTGCATATATATATATATATAAAGAGAGAGATAGAGAGAAGGGGAGAGAGAGAGAGAGGTGAAATTTGCATAGCATTTAACTGTTTTCTTTTGTTGAGATAGGCTCTTCTTCTGTCACTCAGGCTGGAGTGCAGTGGCGCCATCACAGCTCACTGCAGCATTGACCTCCTGGGCTCAAGCGATCCTCCCAGCTCAGCCTCCAGAGTAGCTGGGACTACAGGCACGTGCCACCGTGCCCGGCTAATTTTTGTATTTTTTGTCAAGATGGGGTTTTGCTATGTTGCCCTGGTTGGTCTCCAATTCCTGAGCTCAAGCGATCTGCTCACTATGGCCACCCAAAGTGTTAGAATTATAGGCGTAAGCCACTGTGCCCAACCCATTTACGTGTTTTAAAGTGCACAACTTGGTGACATTTAGTGTGTTTACAGTGTTGTGCAACCATCACCTTTACCTGGTTCCAAAAGATATGTTTTTGAACAAGTGTGCATGAGTGTTGGGGATGATATTTCTCCTGTATTGAAAAGACTCTGTCAACGTTGCCTGCTAGACTGGCCCCAGGTGCTATAGGTTTATGGACCTAAACGCCTTTCTTGACTTTGCATAAGGAAAAGGTATCTTCCTGACCAAATGTCTCGGGCAACTCTCCCAATTCTCAGAAACTCCTTGGTCTTCCATGGTCTGCCATCCCTCAGCTGCAGAATTTGCAGTGAGACGCTATGTGTTCACCGAGGATTATTGTTTAACCATTTTATGGCTATTTAGATAGCAGTTAAATTTACACAAAAACAAACAAATGATGACCAAACCAAGTCACTGTCAAGGTCACAGGTGGCTATGTCTAACATAAAAACAGAAGCTCTCCTTCAATTCACCCACTGGGAGAGGAATTTTCCAGCAGCATAAGGCCTCAAGATGAGTTGTCAGAGGGTCAGCTGCTGCTCAACCTAAACAATTATTTATTTATTTATTTATTTATTTATTTTTGAAACAGAGTCTTGTTCTGTCACTCAGGCTGGAGTGCGATGGCACGATCTTGGCTCACTGGAACCTCCGCCTCCCAGGTTCAAGCCATTTTCCTGCCTCAGCCTCCCAAGTAGCTGGGATTACAGGCACGCACCACCATACCCAGCTAATTTTTGTAATTTTAGTAGAGACAGGGTTTCACCATGTTACCTAGGCTGGTCTCGAACTCCTAGCCTCAAGCGATCTGCCTGCCTTGGCTTCCCAAAGTGTTGGGATTGCACTCAAAACAAAACAAAACAAAAAGACAAAGAAACAAAAAAACAAAGAGTATGGTTTGATTGGACTTTTTTTTTTTCTGAGATGGAGTTTCACTCTTGTTGCCCATGTTGGAGTGCAATGGCGTGATCTTGGCTTACCGCAACCTCTGCTTCCCGGGTTCAAGCAATTCTCCTGCCTCAGCCTCCCGAGTAGCTGGGATTACAGGCACGCACCACCATGCCTGGCTAGTTTTTTGTATTTTCAGTAGAGATGGGTTTTCACCATGTTGGCCAGGCTGGTCTCAAACTCCTGACCTCAGGTGATCCACCCGCCTTGGCCTCCCAAAGTGCTGGGATTACAGGCATGAGCCACTGTGCCCAGCCTGATTGGAATTTTATAATCAGTATTTTTTTCAAAACTGGATTTTCATTTTAGTGGGTTATGAACAGTATGAACAAAAAATAAAATTGAATAATAAAGAATACGGTGCATTACAGATACAGTAAGTATTCCTTCTAGAAATGTTTGTCTCAGTAGTGTGTTTGTGTGTATATGTGTTTACTGGGTTATGATGTAAAATGCATTTCTTAATGTGGGTTATAGTTTAACAAGTTTGAAAGCCACGGACATAAATGGCTTTGGACCCGTCAGAACAGCTCAGACTTTTTTCACCAGCCTTGGGCCTCAGCCAGCTTCCCTGACCCTTCCACTATTGCCAGATGGAAATGTCATGGTTATGTTCAAAGTCCTTGTGCTAAACTCATGTATGCTCTTTATCAGAGGCAAAAATGGAGCATGACAGTCTGTTCTTAGGGCAAGTTCCAAGAACTGAGAACACAGTCCTCACAGGGTCATACAACTTTCAATTTTCCAATTCCTAAACCGGTGTCAGTTCTGACTATGCTCTCCTTGGTTATTCTGTGAATATACTTGAACGATCGAGGGCGTTTCTGCAGTGACGAGCTGGGGCACTGTCCTCCCTGACGCTCCGAAAAGCCACACTGCAGAACACTCTGGATAAAATTACCCCTGGGGGCCACCTGTTTAATACCCTTTATGCTTGAAGCTCTCAGCATGCAGTGCCCCGGATCACTTACAGTTCCCCGACTTCTTTTTCATGAAAAGAGCCATTCATTTCATCACTTGGAGGTTGCAATTTGCCCTTTAAATTTTGCCTGTGATAAACTTAAGTCTGATAGCTTGCTTTGGCAGTACCTATGTGAAAGCAACTCGGAAAGTTAGAGAGTGAAATATTTAGCCAAATGATGGGCTAAAAAAGATAATACAAGCAATTCCAGTTAAGGTTCAGATTGAATTTCTTCTTTTTTTTGCGGGGGGGGCCAGGGTCTCATTCTGTTGCCCAGGGGTGCAGTGGCACGATACGGCTCACTGCAGCCTCAACCTTCCTGGGCTCAGGTGATCCTCCCACTTCAGCCTCCTGACTAGCTGAGGACTACAGGTGTGTGCCATCATGCTCAGCTAATTTTTGTTTTTTGGGTTTTGTTTGTTTGTTTTGGTAGAAACTGTGTTTCGCCATCTTCCCGAGTCTTCTGTGCCCAGCTGTTCTGAGATTTCTTTTCAGTGTTATCTTGAGAATTCCTTTCCCCATCCTCCTTTGCTGGTCTCTTATTTCCTGAACTCCATTTCTCAGTTTCTTCCTTAGTTCTGGGGAAGAATATCCTTCATTAGCTTTCTTGGGGACACATACATGAAAGAGGTCAATTCTTTAAGAGCTTGCACCTGTTGGGTGTGGTGGCTCATGCCTGTAATCCTAGCACTTTGGGAGGCCAAGGCAGGTGGATTACCTGAGGTCAGGAGTTTGAGACCAGCCTGGCCAACATGGTGAAACCCCATCTCTACCAAAAAATTCAAAAAATTAGCCGGGTGTGGTGACACACACCTGTAGTTGCAGCTCCTCAGGAGGCTGAGAGCCTGAGAATCGCTGGAACCCAGGAGGTGGAGGTTGCAGCGAACTGAGATTGCATCATTGCACTCCAGACTGGGTGACAGAGCAAGACTCCATCTCAAAAAAAAAAAAAAAAAAAAAAAAAAGAGCTTGCACATATGTAACTTTTGAATCTTCCATTGCTGGTTTGGTTAGGTGGATATTATCGTTTGGTAATGATTTCCCCTCAAATTTAAGTCATTGCTCCATCATTTTCTAGTTTCCAGAATTGCTATTGAGAAGTTTTAAGTATCATTATTCTTAATCCTTTAACTGTGATTTGTTTCTCTTTTTTGTCTCTCTCTTCTCCACCCAAATTAGGCTTTAAAAGTTAAAAAAAGGCCGAGGGCGGTGGCTCACACCTGTAATCCCTGCACTTTGGAGGCCGAGGTGGGCAGATCATGAGTCAGGAGTTCAAGACCAGCCTGACCAACATGGTGAAACCCCGTTCTACTAAAATACAAAAATTAGCCGGGCATGGTGGTGCACATCTGTAATCCAGTACTCAGGAGCTGAGGCAGGAGAATGCTTGAACCTGGGAGGTGGAAGTTGCAGTGAGCAGAGATCACACACCTGCACTCCAGCCTGGGTGACAGAGCTAGACTTCGTCTCAAAAAAAAAAAAAAAAAAAAAGGTTTAAAAGAAGGCTGGCCTTGGTGGCTCATGCCTGTAATCCCAGCACTTTGGAAGTCCAAGGCGGGCAGATCATGAGGTCAAGAGATTGAGATCAGCCTGGCCAGTATAGTGAAACCCCATCTCTACTAAAAAGACAAAAATTAGCTGGGTGTGGTGGCATGCGCCTGCAGTCCCAGCTGCTCGGGAGGCTGAGGCAGGAGAATCACTTGAACCTAGGAGGCGGAGGTTGCAGCAAGCCGAGATTGCGCCACTGCACTCCAGTCTGGACGACAGAGCGAGACTCCATCTCAAAAAAAGAAAAAAAAAAAAGTACATGAACAAACTGGAGAAGGGTATAACTGGCAGAAAAATGCCCAGGGATGAAGGTAGCAAAATTCAATGACAACAGAAAGGCTTACCTTCCTCACGGTCCCTGCTGATGGATCAGACACAACTTCTCTATAAAAATGGGACATATAATAATTGTAGGGAGCCAGGCATGGTGGCTCACACCTGTAATCCCAGCACTTTGGGAGGCCGAGGCGGGTGGATCATCTGAGGTCAGGAGTTTGAGACCAGCCTGGCCAACATGATGACATCCTGTCTCTACTAAAAATACAAAAATTAGCCAAGAGTGGTGATGCATGCCTGTAGTTGCAGCTCCTCAGGAGGCTAAGGTAGGAGAATCGCTTGAACCTGTGAGGCGGAGGTTGCAGTGAGCTGAGATGGCACCACTGCACTCTAGCCTGGGCAACAGAATGAGATCTGTTTCAAAAAAAAAAAAAAAAACATTGGAGGGGACCAAAGGAAAACTTCCCTTTTGCTGTCTGAAGCCTTGCTGAAAATAAATTCACAAAAGGCAAATTAATAGGAGAAATGCCGGACAAAATTTATTAATGTGCATAGGGGAAAATCACAGAGCGATTTCTTCACCACACAGTGGGGTAGAGAATCTTGTTACAAGAGCATCCGGTAAGACTGTCAGGAGGTCTTCCTGAAGGTCTCATATCCTCTTCTTGAGTGAAAGGGAGATGGGGAAACGTGGATGATTTAGGAAGGTAGTAAATGATCTTCAGGGGAAGTCAATGGAATTGAAATATACAACGGCCTGGGACAAACTCTGTTGGACCCAATGAGCAAACAGTGGTTTGTGACGAAAGTCTATCCATGTGTGTGGACCAAGTTGTCTTTCTTCTTGCAATGAGTTCAGTTAATGAAAACTTGAGGAAGGGACCAGAGGTAACTGTTTTCTTTTTTGGTGGATCCAGACTTCAGGCAGACAAAGGACCTTCAGAGTACAACTTCCTCCTGTGCTACGGGAGAGACAGAGGATTGAGAGACAGGAAGATGGGAGGAAAGTTAGAGAGATGTGGCCTCTTGTTCAGTTCAGTATGTCAAAGCACCGTGTTTTGGGGTAGCAGTTTCAGGACCCAGCCCAGTATAGCTCCCTAGTCCTGGGTCCCAGTCTCAGATCTCTTCAAGATGAACAATGTCATTAATGTCCTGATTTTTTTTCATCATCCAATTACCCAGCTCATCTAGGCTGGTATATCTGTTGTTATATGATCATGTAACTCTGGAAGGTTTAGAGTTAAATATAGAAACGACGAGCTAAATCAAACCCATAGTACTAATATTTTTAGTACTAACCATTAAGTGTAAGACAATCTGTATGTGTCTGCTATTCATGCGAAGTGTAGTAGTAAAGAAAGAAATTATCCTCATAGGGAATCTTACAGATTACCTTGTAATTTCAATTTAAAATGTGCAATTGATTTTATACTTGTGACTTTAAAATGAAGGTGTGAGATAATTTGGTAAAGTGTATACATTGTACTGATTGTATTAAGATAATCTTGTTACAAGAGTGTCCGGTAAGGCTGTCAGGAGATCTTCTTCAAGGTCTCATGACAGTTGCTTCTGCTACTGTTACAGGCTGTTACAGGCTGTGCCATTTCCCCTTTTACCAAATGAACCCCAACAGGCTCAGGAAACGACAGCCAAGGCACAGCTGAGACCAGACTGGAATATTCAAATGCAAATTTTGCTAAAGGCTCACGTAGGGATCGGCAAACAGTTTTTGTAAAGAACTAGATTGTGAAGATTTTATTCTTTAGGGCCCAGGAGGCAAAATTGAGATTCTGTAGATACTTACATAACCATTTAAAATGTAGCCACTTAAAAAATATAAAAACTGGGTCGGGGGCGGTGGCTCACGCCTGTAATCCCAGCACTTTGGGAGGCCAAGGCGGGCAGATCACTTGAGGTCAGGAGTTCCAGACCAGCCTGGCCAACATGGTGAAACCCCGTCTCTACTAAAAATTAGCTGGGCATGGTGGTGGGCACCTATAATCCCAGCTACTCTCGAGGCTGAGGCACAAGAATCGCTTGAATCCAGGAGGTGGAGGTTGCAGTGAGCCACGATCACGCCACTGCACTCCAGCCTGGGCGATAGAGAGAGACTCAGTCTCAAAAAAAAAATAATAATAAAAATAAAAAATAAAAAAATATATAAACTATTCTTAATTCTGGGGCTATACCAAGACAGGCAACTGGATAAATTGGTCCATGGACCATAATTTGCTAACCCTTGGGCATAAAATTTAAAAAGATATCAAAATAAATAAATGCAGAGAATAACGCAAAATTAAATAAACCAGATTTCTAAGTACAACTCACCAGACTTCACATGAGTTTCCCTGCACTGTTGTTCTTACCATTGTGTCTACTGGAACACATCTAAGGAAGCAGAAGTACTTTTGAGCAGGGCTTACAACTGTGGTGATATCAATGGGAAGGGACAGACAATTTGAAAAAGCCTCCGTCCTGACCTCTGTCTTCCGGCCAACTCTCAAATTATAGAGACTCTCCAAATGTGCTTGTATTTATTGGGGGCCCACAGTGCCCGGTGCTATGCTGAGCACTAAGAATACGGTAGTGAGCAAGACTGGGTCCCTACCCCAAGGAGCTTACGGTTCCATGGGAAGACTGTCAAGAAAACGGCTCATTCTTTTGAAGTGCGGTAACTGTCCTCATAGCAGCATGGATGCACAACGTGGGCAGGCACCCACTGCACCCAGTTTTTAGGGACTAGGAGAGACCTCCTAGAGGACATGGTGTCCAAACTGAGGCCTGATGGATGCGAAGAACTTAGCAAGAGAAATAACTCAGCAGGTGCAATGCAGTGTGTGCCAAGTCGCAGAGGTAAAAGGGAGTGTCACTGTGTTTGGGGAGCTATGAGTATTTCATACAACCATTCAATGACTGACACAAAAGATGCATTCTCAACAAAGCACCTGTAACCAGGAAAAACAAATGCCCAAAGCAACATTCCTATAAAACAGGATTTCTCAAACTGCAGTACTATTGCCACTTTCCTGGGCATTGTTGAACGTTGAGCAGCATCCCAGGTCCCTACCAACTTGCCAGTAGCAAGCATCTAGTTGAGGCAACCAAAAAACTCCAGACATTGCGAATGTCTCCTGGAGGGCAAAATCTCATTGAGATTGAGAACTGCTGCAAAAAAATATAATGATAAAGAATGTCATGGGCTCATTCCCAGTACACCAGCTAGGAACACTGGCCTATCCAGGTGTTCTTGTTAGGAGTAGCAATGGCTCATTGCTGCTCCATTTTGCCAAGGAGAGGAGGTGACCAGATGTCTCAGTCAGATACAACCTCCTCCTTCCACCAACCACCAAATGCTACCCCTGAAAGGTCTGACTAAGGCCTTTCATTCTGCAAGCACCGAGGGACCCCCATCCAGAAAAACCTGCTAGACTCATTCTTGGCAAGATGCAGGTCCATATTATCTGCACCATTCCTGTAGTTTAATGTGGTTACACAAACATTTACCAAATTGTAGTTGATTCCAAAGCGTTTGTTTTTGATTGCCACTATATAGTGCACATACAGTTGCCAAGATGATGAAAACCAGGATGTGGGTAAAAAATGGTTCCTGCTGCCCAGCTCCTCATAGAGATTGGCATCATCCACCTAAGGGAGTGTAGTGAGGGCTTTTGGCTGTATGGATCTTACTGTTTTAACAGTTTGCTAATAAAAGTCTTAAGTGGCAAAAAAAGTCCAGCTACTTGAGAAGTGTCTATATGGCCGGACTTTAGAATACAGGATTGAGAGGCAAGTACATGAGTGACGCGGATAGGGAACTAGATTCTTACCGCGGGAGGGCTCTAAGGACCACTGGTCAGGGGCCTTGTGTGCCAGCCTGAGGGCTTACTTTTAATCTTGAGGACACTGGGGAGCCAATGAAGAATTTTAAACTGGTGAGTGCCATGGCCAGATGAATTCAAATTTCTACAGCACTTACATTTTACAAAGTACGTTTCTGCACACGTCGCCTCATTTAACATTCTGTAGGGAGGGTATTGTTTCCATTTTGCAACTGAGGACTTTAATGAACTCAAGGCCAGAGAGCTAATAAAGTTGTGACCAGGATTGAGTAGAACCTAGGTCTTCATTTCCATATTGCTACCTGGGTGTGTTAACTGTAGTCAGATAAAAAACATGCACAAAGAGCCAAATAGGGGGAAAGTTGAAGCCAAAGAATAGATGAAAAAGAAGCTGCTTCCAACAGGGACTAGCACTGAATAGTTCATAGATATATTTCTGGACTTACTACTTTTTTTGTTATTCTTTTTTTTTTTTTTTTTGGAGATGGAGTCTCGCTCTGTTGCCAAGGCTGGAGTGCAGTGGCACAATCTCAGCTCACTGCAATCTCCGCTTACCAGGTTCCAGCAATTCGCCTGCCTCAGCCTCCCAAGTAGCTGGGACTATAGGCAGGCAGCACCATGACCAGCTAATTTTTGCATTTTTAGTGGAGACAGGGTTTCGCCATGTTGGCCAGGCTAGTCTTATACTCCTGACCTCAGGTGATCCACCTGCTTCAGCCTCCCAAAGTGTTGGAATTATAGGTGTGAGTCACCGCGTCCAGCCTTTTTTTGTTATTCTTGTTTCTAAACTGGTTATGCTGCTGCAACCAAGTTACTATTCCCTAGAGAAATAGTTTCCAATTCATGGGCCAAGACCCTTGGGGGAACCCAAGGTTACTGCAGGGAGCCCACAAATTCAATATGCATTTTCATAATGGACACTGAGAATACTAACATCTATTTTACAGGGACTCCAGAGTTTTAAAAAATTCATTTTTCTTTCCAAAAGATCTTTGGCCAGGCATGGTGGTTCATGCCTGTACTCCCAGCACTTTGGGAGGCCGAGGCAAGAGAATTGCTTGAGTATAGGAGTTTGAGGCTGCAGTGAGCTGTGACTGGGACACTGCACTCCAGCCTGGGTAACAGAGCGAGACCCCGTCTTGAAAAGCAAAACAAAACAAAAGCACAAAAAAACCCACAAAGGGATCTTCATACTTAAAGTTTGGCGATTCCTGTGTATTTCTAAGTATCACGTGAGTATTAGCACAGGCTGGTGGGGCTTAGGGTAATGGTAGCGTTTGGGTGTCCAACAGCTCTACAGGAAAGGGAGGAATCCAGTACTTAGTATGCAGTGCCACACAGTCATGAGTCTGGAAAGGACTTGGTGAGGTGAGAGAGAGGTAGAAAGGGTCATGTTCTTATTTCCCTGCCCTAGAAAGGCAAGCATTCCAACGACTTTCCCCCACAGGCTGGGGATTGTATTTGTTTTTATGGCCAGAATTCAGGGGATACTTCAAACGGGTCCATATTTTATTGATTTCAAAACAGTGCGTGGCAAAAATCCAGGTACTCACCTGGAGTCCAGTTTGGAGGACAGAAAAGGGATTGTTTAAGCTCCGCCTGGGGCCTGAGCTGGAGACACAGAAGAAGGAAATGAGAGAGATGGCCCTGGGCCAGTTATCTCATGAAAACTCTGTTTCATCATCTGTAAAATGGAAATAACATTTCTTCGGCTTGAATGAACCAAGGAATGTAAAGATTCCTGGAGTAGCACTTTGCATCAATAGATGCAAGTTTTATACATATACATTTACTCTTTTTTCTTTTCTTTTCTTTTTTTTTTGAGATGGAGTCTCGCTCTGTCGCCCAGGCTGGAGTGCAGTGGTGTGATCTCGGCTCACCACAACCTCCACCTCCCAGGTTCAAGTGATTCTCTTGCCTCAGCCTCCCGAGTAGCTGAGATTACAGGTGCCATCACCACATCCGGCTAATTTTTGTATTTTTAGTAGAGATGGGGTTTCTCCATATTGGTCAGGCTAGTCTTGAACTCCCGACCTCAGGTGATCTGCCCGCCTTGACCTCCCAAAGTGCTGGGATTACAGGCGTGAGCCACGGCACCCGCCTTCAGCGGCACCCGCCTTCAGCTACTCGGAAGGCTGAGGCAGGAGAATCACTTGAACCTGGGGGGCCGAGGTTGCGGTGAGCCGAGATGGCGCCACTGCACTCCAGCCTGGGCAACAAGAGCGAGGCTCCGTCTCAAAACAAAACATGTGCCCAGGCTGGAGTGCAGTGGCGCGATCTTGGCTCACTGCAACCTCCGCCTCGCGGGTTCCAGCGATTCTCCTGTTTCAGCCTCCTGAGTAGCTGGGATTACAGGCGCCCGCCACCACGTCCGGCTACGCTAATCTGTACATTTTCAAGCTAAAAGCTGGGGTATAAAAAAATAAGGGCAAATTTACTTCCATCCAACTGTGAAGGTTCACACGGGCACAGAGAACCGCCCCCTGAGAAGGTTGCTTTTCCAGGGTTCTCGATGCGTTCCCCAAATTTCTGTTCCACCTCCCAGTCGATATCAGAGGCCACATCAGGCGCCACCGAGTCCCGGGCAACTTCCTCCTCAGACAGCCGCAGTGGAAGATCCCGAAAGGGACTTGGTGCTGGCCCCGCCCCTCCGTGTCTCTATCGTGGGGGAGGTCAGGGGCGTGCCATGGGCGTGGCTAGTGCTGGCAGAAACCAATGGGAACTGAGGAGGTCGGCGCGTTTGCGCGGGCGGGGCGGGGCGGGGCTGCGCGCAGGCTCCTGGGCCGGAGCGGCATTTTCTCCTTTCCTGGAGCGGCCTCCGGTTCTTGTAGCAACTGAGTCCGGGTTGCAGGAGGTGTGGGGCCGCCGCCTCCAGGTAAGTCCTGGCCCGCGCCTCCTCCCGCCGGCCCCTCTTTCTCTGCGGCTCCCGGAACCCGGGCCTGGGGTAGGGTTGGGCTGCGGTTTCCTGGGAGCCTCCTTTGCAATCGGGCGTGCTCTGGGCTGCCTTTTCTCTCCAGTTCGCAGGCCGGGCGGGGCTCGGCGGGGCGCGAGGTTCGGGGAACTGGGACAGGGCTCCGCTTCTCGGGCTGCTCCCTCCTTGGGTCGGGCTGGTGCATCGCTGTTGGCGTGGGGTGATTCCTGTTCCAGGGTCATTGAGATCCGAGTGCGAATCCCGTCGTGGCATCTCTGCGTCTGCACGCGTGCCCCGGGCTTGCAACCCTGCCTGTACGTCCCTCCCACTCGTGGGTTCATTCAAACGGCAGCCTGAGCGACCGCGAGCTTCGCATTCTGGGAGAGGGCACACCACATTCGGAATCGCTCGTGGCACATGCTAGGCTGGGAGGAAATGGCCTGGAGAGTTAATGTACCTCTGGGTTTTAAAGTCTTTCTAGGTGCAATTTCATGTAAAACAGTTGCAGTGATTAGCATTTTTGTTCTGCGCAAGAGTAGCAAAAACAGTGTTGGCACTGCCCTGCGGATTCGGCTTGCCGTCCTACTTGGGTAGTGAGAAAGTTGAAAGGCATGAATTTTGCTTTTGGCTTTGCCGTTGCGAAGCTTTGTGACCGCAGACTCAGTTAATTAACGTGAAACGAGATGGTAACTTAGAAGATTTCTTTTAAACCCCGCTTTTTGGAAGTCTGTGATGACCTTAGTTTTCCTTCTGCACCTTTAAAAAGAACAGGAAATAGGAACAGTTCATGAAAGGGCATTATTGAAAGGGCAGTCGGTCCAGCAAGGAACAAAAATGTATGAGAGCACAGAAGCCTTAAAGGCTGTGCGATTACAGTTTAAGAGTTCAGACTGAAAAGGAAACAGCAAGTAAAACTGAAAGAACTTATCTGCTAAAAAAATATTGGTGGGTGCAGGCAGGGAATTCTATACATGCAGAATAAATATAGAATTTTCCAGGCAGAGGAAACAAAAAATTAATTTTTAAAAATGTTAGCTGTGGCTGGGCACTGGTGGCTACCTGTAAATCCCAACACTTTGGGAGGTGGAGGTGGGGGATCACTGAGGTCAG